AGCTCAAGTTTTCCTCTAAGTTTATTCAGGTTGCTACAGAATTTAGTTGCTTGTGATTTATGAGGTTAAGGTCCCCATTTTCTGGTTGCTGTCATCAAGGATCACTCAGCAACTCAAGGCTGCCAAAGGCTTCCTGCTACATGGTCCTCTCCACCATTGTTCAAAGACCAACAAAAAAATATCATCTGCTGCTGTGAATTTCTCTTTTTCTATCTCTAATCTCCTGTCCCACTTTAGAAGCAGCACACCCACCCTCAGGGAAGAGACTTTATAGGATGTATACACCGGGAAGCAGGAATCTTGGGGCCATCTTAAAATTTCGCCAACCACATACAATCAAAGCATAAAGCTTTCTAGTGATAAAGTTCCATCCAAAGCCAATATAAAACCTCAAATACAGACTGGTGCACAAATTATATATATTTCACTCATCCTCAAATAGTATGATGAACTTAGACAGGAAACAGCGTGAGAGTATAATCTTGATTAAATACTTAGAACAACTGGGCATACTGACACATATCAGAAATCCTAGCACTCGGAGAGGCTGAGACAGTAGGATCACAACTTCAAGACCGGACGTGGCGACATAACAAGACCCCCTGAAAATAAAAAATAACAAAGGACTAGGGATATGGCTAAGTGTGAAGACCAAAGGTTCAATCCTTAGTACCATTAAAAAAACAACCACAAATGCCTAGAGCCCAACATGTTCAGTAGAACATTCCAGTGATTTGTTTTTGCTGGTATATCACAGAGAAAGCCAGCTGACCAATCTAGCCCCTTCAGATTACTGTTCTAAAAATGAAGTCTACCCATGCATTACTGCAGCAACTCACAAAACAAAACAAGGGGGGATATGCACCAAGAAAAAGCAGTCACCCATGTAATTTCTAAAAAATTTCAAGCCAACAACAGATACTAAAACCTTCAAATCTGTTTTCTCAATGATTCTATTTAGAAACATTTTAAATGGAAGTTACTGTAAGAACAATATAAGAAAAAATTATTTAAAAGTCAAAATCATGATTTCTGAACTAAAAATAATAAAGCACCAATAACGCTAAAAACAGAATTTGTAACCTCTTGGGGGATGACAATTATAAAGAAAAAGGCAAGAGACATGGAAAATATTTGTTATTCTATACTTTATGATAGCAGGTTCTAGAAAAAACTAGCTAGCTATTCACCAAAACTATTTCCTCCTTCCCTTAGACACAAAGTTTGACTGTTATTTCCAAGCCTCCTTTGTAGTGTTTGAGCTCTGGCCAATATAATGTTGGCAGAAGTAACATGCATCCCTTACAAGCTTGGTTCAGTCTGAAAAAAATTCATGACTCATTCACTTTCTTTTTCTTCTGCTTATACCAATGGAAGCTGTAGGCTGAGCAGTAGTCCATAAGTGAAAAGAGTCTTGATCCCTTGAGCATCTCTTGAAGAAATATCCATTTTAGCCTTTCCATAAGCAAAAAAGTAAAACTGCCATTGTGAAATTATGGAGATTTTTTATACCAGGCAGAATATTTTAATAAATTCCAAAAACTGTTGTTAGAAATATAGTGCTATGAAAACAATAGTAACAATTAAAGCTAAAATAAATACTGTTAGATTGATGGTTAGGCAACGGGCAGCAAGGAAACACATTTAACAAGCTAAAAGGCTGGAGAATGCAACTATATATGGAGAAACAACTAGTAAAATACAACTTGTAGAAAGTGAAAGGCGGGGGCTGGGGATTTAGCTCAGCGGCATAAGCACCTGCCTTGCAAGCAGGCGGTCGTGAGTTCGAGCCCCGGTACCAATAAGATAAAAAAAAAAAAGTGAAAGGCATACTAAATGCCTACTGGGCTTCTAGCATATAGCACTATAAATGAATGAAGAGTCAAAATTTCATGTACATTAGCATTTTCTATCTGCTTTTTGCGAAGTATTACATAAAAGAGGTGAGCTCAAAAAGAAGTTGCAGACTGAAATTGCAAGAAAAAGAAGTCTAGAAACTTGAGACTCAGAGAGGGTCAGAAAGCTGAATATATAGAGAGCCCAAACAGTAAAAGCATAATAAAGAGTTGAACAATAAATTCCAAAGAAAACTTGTAGCTAAACAAAGTGACTCAATCCTGAAGTGCAGATCAGATTCCAACGTGAACTTCTCTCTGATTGTTTCATACAGCCTCAAAGTAAACCACTAAACTAAGAAAAAAGAATGAGGCAAGGACATACTCCCCCTTCTTTTACTACTTCCCTAAACAGGGCATCACTAGTCTTAAAACACTGCTTAGGAAAGAATATTGGGTATAGTGTACACACAGTATCTACTAGAAAGAAATAGATTGGGATAATTATGGGAAAACTACAATGCCAAAAAACACAAATGTGGACTAAAATAACTTCCAACTGTTCAGAGCCTTAAAATAACCCTCACACCCCTAACCTTTTAGGAGCAAAAAACAGACAGTGAAAGCTATAAATAGATGTAGAAATAAATGTGAATGCAGATGTACCTAAACATAATCATATACACAGAAAAAGAGAAAAATATATGTCTTCTAATGAATGTCTTTTGCTCAACATCCTCTTCAGAAATGTACTAGATAAAAATAAGGGAAAAACAAGGCATACCTAGATACCCAGAACAATGGACACAGGAGTTCTTTCCGCAAAGAAAAGAAAAGAAGTTTCCCTATTACTCAGGCTGACAGACTTCCCAATGCTGCCCAAGAAGACAGAATAACTGCTACGGACCAGAGAATAATATTTGTCTTCTATTCGTTCTCCTTTTCAAAATCTAACTTTTTGTTTCATTTTGTAAATGGTACTTACTCCATCCTACCTTCCTTACCCTGTATTGGGAGTAAGTGCATATAACTCATAATTTTAGCTACTTGGTTACCAGCTTATGAAGAGCCACATCTGAATCTAACAGAGAAAGTTGAGCATCCTAGAGACCCCAGAGTAGACAGACCACTGGGCTCGCTCCCTCAGGGAAACAGTGACTGTAGTCTATGCCCAGGAAGACAACAAATAAGTAGTTAGTAACCAGGAAATGCCAGACACTAGCAACTAGTCACCAAATTTATGTGATCTTCACTTTAAGGAAAGAGTGGGATTATGTATCCCAGCCTTCCTTGTAGATGGACAGTGAGTTCTGACAAATGAAATGTGAACAGAATAATACTTTGCATACATGCTGCCCCTAAAAGCATTTCCCCTTCTGCTCCAATCTTTAAAGTCATACTAAAAATAGGACAGCCTCTCAATGGAGAGATTCTAAATCCCAAATCATCACCATGTATGAAAAAAAAAATCACAAATGAGAAATGCCATTTAAGGCTTTACATAAGTGAGAAATAAACTACTTCCTCTCCTTCTTTTCTAATATTCATGAATTCCACAAGTATTTGTTAACTTTTAAGAAATACAAAGTACTTACTAATTTCTCCTATTATCCTTACTTTCTAGGTACTACAGAAAATTTTTAAATATGTTAGATATGCTTATTCAAGGATTGCTCATATATATATAATACATTCACTAAGAATAATTCTTGAGATGAAAAATTTTATAGGAGGAATAAAGACTTAAATAAAATTCCTGAATTCATTTAATATTCCATTAAAAATGTAAAGCAAACAGCTAATAATTTATACAGACTGAGTAAACCATAGGAGATAAATTCATTTCAACCTGACCTGAATTCTACTGTAAGATCTGACCTCTGCAAATTGTTTGAACTTGAGCAAGTCTTTTCACTTTCTGGGGCATTCATTTCCTCAGATAGCTAAGTAATGAAACTACTTAATCTCAGAGTAAATAGGTAGTAACATTCTTAATGAATTCCTCTTTCATCAAAAAGGAAGTTAAATAAATTTCTCAGGCAAAGGCCTAAATAACAACCTTTAAAAAGGTAGCAACCATAGAGACTTTGTACTAGGCTTTCCTATTTTAAAATTTAACAAAAAAGTCAAAAATAGTAAAAGCTTGTCTTACTTGATATCTTTTTATCTAAACATAACAATGCAAAGGTATATCTTCAATGATTAATATGTTCATACCCACTATAAAACAAATGACATGATTATTTCTACCAGATTTATCATCAAAATAGTTTTTATCTTTGTAAAGAATAAGATTCAAAGGAGTGTGTGTGGAGTACCTGCACTGCCTTAAGAAAAAGATAACTGACAAACCTCTTTTACAAAATCAGAGAGACAGCCAAACTGAGAATATTAAAGCTAGTTGAGACCTAAAATATGGTTCCAAATAAAATCCATTCCCTCATTCTCCACAGAATGATAAGAACTCCAAATAACCCATTCAAGAAGATTGGTGTTTATGAAACCAGAACACACTTTCCATAAACAACCAAGTCTTCTATTTATTGTTGTAAGTTACATCATCAGGTATACTGAGAGGTTTAACAAAACTAAAGTGACTTAAATTTCAAAAAAACAAAAACTACTGCAAATCATTAATGTTCTTGTATTCATAATGACCAAAACAAACCTTTCTTTGATTATAAATCACACCATTTATCAAAAGGATTTATTCTCATTGATTTCTGTTTGTATCAGAAATAACTCATGTATAATATTATATGTTGCTTATATACCAAATAATCAGCCAAAGGTACAAAAGTTAGATCATTAACTAGAAGGAAAACTTTAAATTGCTTTAAGTTTCAAGTCATATCAAAATGAAAGGAAGTATTTATTTTTTTAAAAAGCAACAAAGTTAATTTCTCTCAAATCCTCAATATAAACCATAACTGATTAATGTATTGGACATCCAATTTACTGGACATCCACAGAGCAAAACAATACTAATTAATAGTTTACTGCTCTATTAAGATAATAAAAAATATTTTTAATCCTATGTTTCCACAAAAATAAAGGACTTACTTAAAATGATAAGAAACAAGCAAGACACTTGGCAAAAGAAATCCATATTCAACTGAATATTTGTAAAGGCAATGTCCAACCTATCATAAACCCAAGACTTACTTGCTTCATGGCTGTCTCTCCAATTTTGTCTGAATGTTTGCGGATGCTCTCCAGGAAATCCTTGAGATCAGACATAGAAACATCCTTTATTTCTTCTCGAAGCTTGGGGATGTTGTCCACCATCACCTTGCAGAATCGATAGTGGCTTACTTGAGGCAGATAAGTATGCTCTAGATGTTCCAGAGTTTTCAGTGCAGGATAATGCCTACAAAAGGAATTGATTCCTTTTAGCTGAATTCAGTCTTCCTTAGGGTCACAGATATACTCTTCAGGAAAAACTTCTAGCCTGATTTAGTTTCCACTATGCATTAAGATAAATCCATTATTGATTTTTTAAAAAACTATTCAATTATTTTTCAGTTTTTATTAATACATATTTACTTAAATAATGATTATGTTTGGGGAGTTGATACATGAACCACATCTCAATTCTTTTTCCATTCTCATTCCCTCTCTTCCTACACTCCTTTTATCTCTTCCTTTTCGCGTTTGAAAAAATCAAATTATTACAAATTAATATATGCTTTAAAATGCTAGTACAGTACAATCAAAAAAGATTTTATCTAAGGAATATATAAAGCTTAAAATAGATACGAGCTAACAAAAGAAAATGTAGAACGATCATCTCAATGCCAAAAATAAAATCAACCTGTAAAATGAAGTATTCTAGTATAGACTCCCAACTAAAGCAGGAGCCTGTCACATCTTCTACCCAGTGATTCATTCAAACTCATGACAAAACTATCCAAGACAACCATTTCAGGGCTCTAGAAACTGACCAAAAAATAACAACAAATCAAGAAATGTTTATTCCTGAAAACGGCTCAATGGTGGAACTCTGTAGTATTTTTCCCTGGGCCTACTTGCAGTAACACCACACCCTGCACGTGCGCATACACACACACACCCCAAATTCTTTGTTCCCTGGTCACTGTTCATGACTAACCATGAAAGCCAACAGCTTCACTGACATTAGAGGAAAACAAAATTTGGAGCAGAGGGTGCAAAACCCTTAATAAGTGGCATTCTTGGTAAAATTGGTAACCACAGTAAAAAACAAAATAAAAATAAAAATGTGAACAGGAAAAGTCTCCAACTCCACTGGCCTAAAGTTGTAGCCTGGCTGTGACAAAAGGCAGATTGGAGTACTAACCAGAAATTTAACAGGAAGGTCATAGAAATAAAGACTTGATGTGCTTTGTGCCTACGTCTAGCCCACTGAAAATCTGCACACAAGCAGGAAACACTCAGAAAAGACCTAAGCATTCGACTCAGTCCTGGCTGACTAGGAGGCTTCAGGAACACACAGGAGACCTAAGAAAGCCTGGCAGAAAGTAAAACTTCAGACAGACTTAGAAAATACCTGAATTTTTGGTGTAATACCTAAACATATCTACTGGCAAAGACTAGAAATCTTAACTGGCTCAAGTTGGTTTGAGCACAAGAACTAATCAATAGTTAGTTCATGAGAATCCTTTAAAAAATTGAAGTAATGTCCCAGGCATAGTGGTGGACACCTGTAATCCTCACACTTAGGAGGCTGATGCTGAGACCACAAATTCTAAACTCAGCCCGGGCTACCAGCAATTTCAAGGCCAGCCTGCTGGACTACTTAGTGATACTCTAAGAAGAAAAAAAGAAGAAAAAAGAGAAGGAAGAAAGAAGGAAAGACGGAATTTCTTGCTAGCCAACCTACCTTACAAGAAACTCTAAAGGCAGCCTGAAAGATATGACCACAGATTGAACACACATACACACACACACACACACTCCAAAGAACATAGGATATAATAAATAAATCCTAAATGTAACAGAGTAAAAACATATATTTTTCTTTTAATTTCTCAAAAAGTTAAGATTTTTAAAAGCAATGATTCTAATACTGTGTATTTGGGTTTATAAAATATATAGATGAATCAAAAAATTAAGTAACAACAAATGTGGGTGTGATCACAGTAGAAAACGATCCCTTGTACATTGTTGGTGGGAATGTAAACTAGTTACAACTACTATGGAAACCGGCACAGAAATCTCTCAAAACAGTAAAATTAGTAATTTCATTCAGCCATATACTCCGCTTCTAGCTTTCCCAGAAAGAATGAAAGATACCAAATTACAGTGATACATGCATACTAATGTTTATAGCAGCACAACTCATAACAAATAAAATCTTGCAAGCAGGCTACACATTAACGGAAGAATGAGTAAAGAAAATGTGGTAATGATACACAATGGAACACTACTCTGCCATACAGAAAAACAAACTAGAGTCATTTACAGGAAAATGGATGCAATCAGACACATGAACTTAAATATTACAGTTTCTCTTACATGAGAAAACTTAAGTATAAGTAACTTAAAACCCAAAACAAAAGACAATAGGAAACATAGAAATAGACCTTTTGCAAACAAGAAAACCTAGAGATGGAAGGAGAAATCAGGAAGGAAGAAGAAAGGGAATAAGAATAATTAAGATATGTTATATACATGCATTAACTCCCCACAATGAATGTAATCATCATGGACTGCAAACATATACTAATTGAAAAGAAAATGTGATACCTACACTTGCTAAATGTCCTTAAAATATATATATATATATATATTTTTAAGAAAGTCATTCAGCTCAGCAATACTTGGAACTTTCAAGATAGAAAAAGAAGAAGAAAGAAAAGAAATAGAAACAAAATTCACAGGAAAACAAAAAAGGACTAATATATATATATGCAAAACAACAAAAAAAAGAATTTTATCACTCAACTCAAGATTTCTTAAAACACATGTATTACTATCAGTATTTTCTCTTTTTTTCCCCATCAGTATTTTCAATAAGTAGAAATTCACAACCTGCTGGTAAACATATTTTCAATGAAAATGTTAGTGAAAACAACTATTCTAAACATGATATATCCATGTATTAAAAGAATGAAATAAAATGTGTGCAATATTGTTGAATGAAAATCATTTCAAACAATAGACTTCTCAACTTTTCAGTTAAGATAAAATATAGTATTTGTTCTTATTAGTTTCATATATGATACAGCCACTATCTAGGAGCAATACATCAAATGAATTTTGGGATCAAGGAGATGAAATGGGAGCTTGCTCCACATATTCCATGCATCAACATAGTAGTCTAATAACTCCAGGGATGGCACAATGATTATAAAATAATACATCTCTCAAGTATAACTGTAACATTTTAAAATTATAAATATATATAAATTATAAATATATGATCACTGAGTACACAAAGTACAGAACAATGACTAGAAAAACATATGCAAAGTGTTAGCCATGACATTTTTCTCTAGATGGCAGTATTATAAGTCAGAACTTTCTTTGTGTTTAAATGCCCTAATTTCCACATTTGCCATGAAATATTTAGTACAAGAAACCTCCAGTTTCACCCCTATAAATAAAAAAGACTTATAGCACTAGTTTGGACTTAACAAATGATTTTCACAGCAGATACGTTACCTCTTCTTGCTCCAATGCATTTAGTATCACAAACAATAAAGCCTAAAGACTAGTTTATTTTATTTCTTTCTATGGCTTCTCTCATGCATTCCAAGAATCAAAATCTTAATCCAAATAAATGAACAGAAGAAAGGTTTATTCCTAAATTTAGAAATAAAAATACAAATATAGTCAAATCTGAAATAGACTTTATTAAAATTTTACAGATGCAAAAACAGTACAATTCACATGGTTCAGTGTAAACAGAATGGTGTTTATACTATAATTAGGTATGAAGACCTATGTGTAATAAAATGCAATTCCTTTAGACAGAAACTTTAGAATGGATAGAAAGCCAGAAATTAAGCCAAAAAGATAAACATACTTTGGGGTTTAGTTATATTTTGGAACACTGTTTATAGAATGAAAAAAATCTAACAATGTTGCCTGCAGACACAAGGCACATTCACTGATGAGACACATGGCTCATGCTGAAAACATCTGGTCTGTCAAACAGCTCCACATTTTTCAAGGCTAATTAGTACAAAACTCAGTGATTCCTGGCAACAAAGAATGTTAACTTCTTTTCCTCATAGCATATTCAGGTTCCAACCATAGTAAATCATTAAGATTATTCAAATGTGTAGTATATTTCCATATCAACAATAGATAACTGATAACAAATAGAACACCTATATAAGTATTTAAAAAATCTATTCCCAGTGGCCATCAAATACCCACAAGATTTTAATATCTCTTTGGAAAATCTCCAAGCCTTATTAAAACTGAATCAAAAGTGTAACCCTAAGTTTTATTTGTATATGTTCACTCTTGCCTCCCTCATGCAGCAATCCAGAAACAGAAGAAATACAATGAAGCATATAAGACAAGAAATAAAAGGAAAAAGGCAGAAGAAGAGCTGAAAAATGTGTAAGTCGGGTACCTAAGATCCAAATAACCGAGACATTGTTGAATGCTATCATAAGAGAATGTTGATTCCAACCAAATAAAATTTCAGTAGTTTTTTGCCATGGCATGGAACTCTTTCATAATGATGGCTTTTAAAATTACAGGAAGTGGTCCTTAAAAGTAACTCATAACTACTTACAAGAATTTTTTAAAATTCAAGGTATGATAAAATATGAAGTAAAAGCTATTACCACAAGAAAATATTAGTTCCTTTCATAATCAAAAAAGTATCAGTAACCATCCCTTCTATTTGCTAGAGACAGATGGTAAGGTATCTTTTCTTTGGGAGCACAAAATGCAACAGTATTTGTTGTTTAAAAAAAAAAGTAAAATCCTAGCCTTGAAGGCATAACAAAGAAAGGCATAACCTCCCAATTTATAAACAAGTGTGGTAAGGACTAAAATGCATAAAACAACTGTTTTCACTGGACATCAGGCAACACAGAATTGTGATCTCTTAAACAAGAAAAACAAACAAGGCAAATTTAATAATCAATTGGGTTATTTACCTGAAGGTGATTTCTAGATAATGGACACAGAGAAACCCAAATAATGCCCAGCAGATTCACTGACTGAAAGTTGAAATAGTATTTCAGCAAGGCTGAGGTAGTTTAAAGAAAACAGTATACTCCTAGAAAAAAAATTACAAAATTCTACAAAAGGTTTCCCTTAAGTCTTTTATGAGTACTATACCAATCTTGGGGACAATGAAATTCTACACAGGCAAAAAAGGAAAGAAAAACTAGAGGAGAAAGGCAGAAACTAGAAGTGAGATATAAGATGAACATTTCAATGAGCTCAAAGCAGAGAAATGTCAACTCTAAACAGTCAAAATAAAGAGTTCATGTGGCCTGCTGACTTATTCAGAGTACACAGAGATCAAATTGTTATTTAGTAAAGGTGACTGACCCCAATGAAGGTGGGCCTAGCAGAGCTTTCAGATGAGGATGTGAAAGGATCAAGCAATCTGCAACTTACATTATTTGCCAAAATAAGGCCCAACATCTCTAAGAAGAATAAAGCACCCCCACCAGATCCAGAAGTTCATCAACATAATATCATAATCTCTGGTATCCACTCAAAAATTAATAAACTTAAGAATTTTAAAACCGATCTCTACCCAGACAAAACAAAGTCAATCTTGCAGAAGCAGATTCAAAAGAGCCAAAAGTGGCAGAAAAAGTATATGAAAACAGCTACGGGAATTGCGTGTGTGTGTGTGTGTGTGTGTGTGTGTACACGTATGTACGTGCACACGCATATGGAAACAAATTTTTTAACTCATCTTCTGCACATGAAAATTTTATCATCTGAAATGGAAATTTCTCTGGATAGTATAAAAACATCAGAGTACAAAAAAAAAACAGAGATCAATGTACTTGAACGCAGCAATAAATAAAACAGATTAACACAGACTGAGGGGGCAAAAAAACTGATCTTCAAGTAACCTATGAGACTGTATTAACCTGTTCAATAATTAAAGCCCCAGAAAGGCAATAGAAAAAGGATAGAAAAATATAGTGAAAAACTGTATCTGGACATTTTCCAGATTGTATAAAAATTAAAAACCTTCAGATTCATGAGACTAAATAAACCACAAACAGGAGAAATACATACATGCATTTATACACACACATATGCTTACACCAAAGAACAACAAAATCAAATTGTTGGAAATGAATAAGAACAAAGTCTTAAAATTGCTGATGAAGACACAGAGATGCCTTTATGTACAGAGAGACAAAGGTGAGACAATTCATATACGCCACCTCAAAAACTATACAAGCCAAATACAATGAAATAATTTTTTATGAGCTATTGAAACTAAAACTTAGAATAGATTCATCAAAAATATTTTTCAAATGAAGATGTACCAGATAACATTTCCTGCCCACTGTGAAACATGTGAACACAGACAATAAGTATTGACTAAGATGTGCAGAAATTAGAACCCTCACATATTACTGTTTGGAAGATAAAAAGATGCAGCTGCTCTGCAAAAAAGTCTAGTAGTCCTGCAAAATGGAGATACAGAATTATTATATGACCTATCAATTCCAGTCCTACGTATATTTCTAAGAAAATTGAATGAATATGCACAAAGATTTGTACATAAATATTATTATTTTTCAGAGAATTCAAAGCCAGCCAACTGATCCAACAAGAAATGTTAAGGGACAATCTTCAAGCAGAAGAGATAAGTAATACCAAAGGAAAACTACCAACAGGGCTAAAAGAGCATCAGCAAGAAGGTAAATATAAAATTTCTTTCTTTATTTTTTAATTTTTTAAAAAGCAAAAAAAAAAAATATTTCATAGCAAAATGGAAATAATTACAGTCACTACATATCACATTTTGAAATAAGATTTATAACTATGATACAGATAAAGGGATAATAAAATGAAAGCCTTTTAAATTTATTAATAACTGCATATACGTCTAGGATGCAGTGTGATAATCAATAAAGGTATACCTGTAATGGTCAAATCAGACTAGTCAGCTTTTCCACTTAAAGGAAAGTATAGTGTTAAAAGAATCTTACATTGTATGTGATCTGACATAATGTTACTTAAAGATCCATAATAAACTAAAGATATCCATTGTAATGTTAGAAGCAACCACAAAAAAACAAAAGAAAGCAAGTTTATAAGGCATTATTGAAGATAAGACAGAATCCTAAAATGCAGTCAACTGATTGAGAAAAATGGCATTACTAGAGAGAGGGGATAAAAAACAGAATAAATGAAATATAAATTAGAAGATAGATTTAAACCCATATACCGATAACTGAATTAAGTGTAAAAGATTTAAACAACTGAAAAGCAGAGACTGAAACATGAGATCAATTTTTAAAAGCAAGGTCATAAAATAACAAACACATAATCTTCAAAAATGACAAGAGTATAAAAGTTAAGGAGAAACCAAAGAGAATTCCAAACTCAAAAAAATTAAAGAAATATGACAACTACATGCAGCATATGATTTGAACTGGATTCTTTAGCTACAAGGAACAAGATAAAAGCAACTGGCAAAACAAATTCATTGTAAGGACTAGATGATAGTAATATACCAGTGTTAATTTCCATTCTCTATTACAATGCTGTTGCAAAGGAAAATATTTATAGTAAATCAGACTAAAGTACAGTATTAAAGGTGACAGAGTTTCATATTAACATCTTATTTTCAAATTGTTCAGGGAAAAAAAATTTACTGAATCTTTGAATGCTTAAAAGTAATACTTTTAGCTGGGGGGTGTGGTACACACCTGTAATCCCAGCTCTATGAAGGCTTGAGGCAGGAGGATCACTGAGAGTTTGTGGCCAGCCTGAGTATAAAGTGCGATCAAGGCCAGACTAAACTACACAGTGACACCGTGTCTCAAAAAGACAAAAATTAATAATAATGTTTTAATTCACAAAATAAATTTCACTATATCAAAAACTACAAAAATATTAACTCTATAAAGTTAATAAATAAGCCATAGATAGGAAGACAGTATTTGTACATATTGACAGAAAAAGGTACCCCATAACATATATAATTAATTTCTATGAATATGAAAATAACACAAGAAAATGAACACACTATATTAAATAAAACTTCAATGTCCAAAAGGCACTTACAATACTATAATCAAAGAAATGAAAAACTACCAGTGATCTATTATAATTGAAAAAAAAAAAAAAGTTTGGCAATAAAGATGTTACCACGAGGTAAAATAACAAATCTTACATAAAACACTGGTGTTAATGTACATGGGTGAACCACTTTGGAAAACAGTATCTAGCAAAACACAAGACCACACATCCTTTCTTTGATCTAATTGATTGCTCTCTAGGTAATCAATTGCCTGGACCTCTGGAACCCTCATGGCCTCTGGCTTGTGAAAAATGCAGAACCTCAGGAGCGACATCAGACCTGCTTATCCATGTGATCCATTCACACAACAGTGTTGTTTTGGGAACATTAAGTCACAAATGTCAGTCCAAAGACATGAACAAAGATATTTTTTCTAAAATATTTATTATACATTGTCTGCACCGCAAACAAATAGAATCATCCAAATGTCCCACCTAGTACCAGTAACAACAATCCCGAAAGTCTTACTGACCTAAAACACGAGTTTAAAACTTAGTAAGTAGGCAAGGAAGCTCTCCTCATTAAAAGTACCAAGGACTGAACTATCATAAACATTATTACTTATCGCAACTAAGGAAAAATAAAGTACTCTGAAAGATCCTGCATTTGAAATGGAATGCTAAACTCAAAGGTGACACACATTACTTTTACTCATATCTTATCAAAACAGTCATAGAGCCCTACCTATACAAGGAAGCCCAAGAATTATAACCCTACCTGGTTCCAGAATAAAGGTGAACTAAAAATATTGGTAAACAGCACTTACAATAAATAATCACTGAAACTAGGAGAGGAAATATGAGTTATTCACATAGTGAACAATCACACAATGACTAAAATGGGTGTACTAAATCTATACTCATAAAGGAAAGTTCAACATTCGCATGAAAATCCCATAAAGGCAGACATTTTTATGCCTTATTCATAGCTATATCCCAAGCATCAAGAGTGACACCTAACATAAACTAGAACATAATTCATTTTTGTTGAGTGAATGAATGGATCTCAACAAGAACTAAGAATCATCTAGATAATAAAATAACGTGACTTATAGACATTTAAAACACAGCAAGGGATTCAGCTCAGCAGCATAAGCGCCTACCTGGCAAACGTGAGGTGGGGAGTTCGACTCCCAATGCAAATAAGTAAATAAATAAATAAAACACAGACAAGAATACTAGTTTCCTCAGGCAATCGGGAAAAGGTAATAGAGCAAGGAAAGGGACATAAATTTTATTGACAATTTTTAAAAATATGATAGCCGGACATGGTGGTATATGCCTGTAATCCAAGCTATTTGGCAGGATGAGCAGGAGGATTATAAGTTTAAGGCTAGCCTGGGCAGTTAGAAAGACCCTATCTCAAAATAAAGAAGGGTATAGCTCAGTGGAAGACCACTTCTAGATTCAATATGTGTTGTGTGCGTGTGTGCGCGCGCCTGTGTATTTGCCCATATATATTTAGGCTACATGTTTATATACATAAGGATATGTGTTCACACATATACATGTTTATACATATCTTTACATATATATGGGTCACAACTGGAAAATCATTAATCTCTTTTTAATTCAGACAAGTAGGCATACACACTTTTTCTATTCCCTGCAATTTAGAAACTTGACAAAAAGTTATTAGGAAAACATCACTACATTTGTATTTCATTAAACATTACATTTCATAGTAGTCTATCAATTTATTCCATATGAGCATATTCTCCAGTGGAAGACAATTCAAAGAAACAAAATATTTGATGCTTCATGCTTTAGCTTCAAAATTCTTAAGAATTCAGACTTTTTATTTACAATGTTTCTAGTCTTATTTAAACATTAAATACACTTTTGGTCATACCTTTTCCCTCAAAACCAAGTGGAATTAGCATTACAGGAAGATGTACTCTGTCTAACTATTGCTTCACATAACATAATGCAAAGTGCCCCAGGGCAGAGAAGGTAAGGATGCTTACTTCAGTTTGGGAATAAAAGTGAAAGTCACTACAGAGTCTTCTCTGGAATAAAACTAGACGAAACACCACATAGGAGAATAATTCTCTGGATTTCACATTGCCCTTTGTGATGGTTACATTTATGGTTACATTTATGTGTCAATTTGACCAGGCTATGTTAACCCAGATATTGCCCTTTGTGATGGTTACTTTTATGCATCAATTTGACTAGGCTCTGTTACCCAGATATTTGCCAACATTTTTCTGCAATGTTCTGTAAAGCTATGTTTTGGGCAAGATTACCACTTAAATCAATAGACCATGAGCTAAGACTATTCTCCATAATGTGGGTGGCCCTCCTTCCATCACAATTGAAGATCTTAGCAAAAAGCAGCTAAACTTCTGAATTCTACCAGAAGATTATCTTAGGACTCAGGTTAACCCATTGCCTCCCCTGTACATTCTGGGCCTACTAACCTCCACACTCATACAGCCAATCACTTAAATATTTCCCTAGACACAGAGATGAGCAGACATGCACTTGCCTGTGCACACACACAAGCACAATATTTTATTGGTTGTTTTGCTAGGGAAGTCTGACAAATACACTCCTACACCAGAACCAGTGACTATTTTTTTCTGACAACACTAAACCATAATTTCTCTTTCAAACTATCACCAATTATATTCTCTTTCCATTAAAAGACTGGGGCTTCTAAAATCAAGCTATAAGTATTACTTTTTTATTAAATATAACATATGATCAGTAGTAAACAAATCTAAGCTGAATCAATAACTAGATACACATAAGGCTAAAGAAGATGTTATTATGTTTGGAAAAGTAATACCAAATATAGGCCTTAAAAGTATTCTAGAGCTGAGGATATGATTCAAGGGTAAAGTACTTGGCTAGTGCGCACCAGTACCTAGATTTAATCCCCAATATTCCACTCTTGATCCAAAGAAAGTAGCCAAAAAACAAGTTTAGACTATTAAAAGAAGATTTAGACAATAAATTTTCAATAAAAATTCTTACCTTTTAGTTTTCATCTGGTCTCTCAATTTGCTGTACATCTCTAGGACTTGAAAGAGAGAGCAAAAAACACACAGACATTATTTAGAGAAAGTGAAGGAAGAATTAAAGCTCAAAGAATTGCATCAAGAATCTTACTCTATTTCTAGTTGCTCACCTGGAAGACACAGAGTTAACTTATCAACAGTGGCAGAAATATTTCTTTGTTGTAGTCGACACTGCTTCAGCTCTTCCATTGCTATCACCAGCTTGGTAAGAAGGGAAAAAACACTAAATTATGCCAATAGCTGTAAATAAAAAGCTTTCAGTCACATTTTCCACACTGTGTTCAATTCATCAGAAAATCCCAGACAGTTTCATAGTAAGACCTGCCAAGTGGACTAAGAAACTGCTTTTCCCAATCAGTAAAACATCCTAGACAGTTTCCTACTTTCTCCCCAAAATACAGAGTATGTTAGAATGGACTACATGAAATGAAATCCTAAAATATAGAGGCTATTCAGGAGAAAAAAATATTTTACATATTTTCTCCAAACCCTATTCATACTCCTCATGATTTATGGTTTCATCAATCTCCTGAGTCTATATTTCTTTCACCAGAGCTAACCTGCAAGAAAACAGTCCTTCCTATACAGCTTCAAATGAGCATGAAAATGATCTTCAATTAAGTTTCTATTTCAACAAGTAAGCCAGAAGATGTGGCTTATCTATGAGACCCAGTTTAGTAAAGAGTAATCCACTTTTCTTCCCAGATAGAAGTTCCTAAAGGCTTCTTCCTGAAGTCAACCCACAATATATTAGTAGAAACTGTACTCCATATAATTACATATATTCTGTATAATGAGACAATAATTTATTTATCCATTTGTAGCACTGATCCTACACTCATATCTAAAAACATTATCCTTAGATATGCAAAAAAGAATGAAGAGAATGCCCCTAACTGTGTAATTGATCAAACAATCAAAAGCAAACTTTAAAGATTATTAAAACTAGACATCAAATAAGTGTGAGGGAATAAAGGAAGTACATGATACAGAAACCAGTAATGAACTATGAGTCAGAAAACTTGGGGGAGTTTTTTGGGTTTTTTGGTGCCAGGAACTGAACTCATGACTTTGTGCTTGCCAGGCAGGCACTGTGCCACTGAGATGTATTGCTGGCCTCGAAAACATCAGTTTTAATCCCAGTCTTACCAATTATTTTATAAACTTAGGAATCATCTGTTTTAGTCATCATCAATAAAAGTCACAATAACTGCTCTGACATTGTCATTAGTTTACTATGAGTATTAAGTGAGTAAATGAACATAAAATGTAAAGGTTTAAACAGTGAATATATCCATTAATAGAATCAATGATTTTTTTGAGCCCCCTGAAACTGGGGATTGAACTCCATACTTCATGCATACCAAGCAAGCATTCCACCACTGAGCTACATCCCCAGCCATCATTCATTTTATAAACAAGTATTTACTGAGTCCCACTTTGTGCCACTTGCTATTTAAGTAGAGACAAAGGATACACCAATGAATAGAACAAAGCTTTCTGATCATATAGAACTTATTTCCAATGGCAGGAGACAGACAAAAAACCAATATGTAAGTAAAAATATAAATCAAAAGTATGACAGGCTCAATGGAGAAAAATAAACTGGGAAGAAGTAAAAAAAAAAAAAAAAAAAAAACGCAGGAAGTATTGGGGATGTAGTTGGGTGGTGGAGTACTTGTCTAGCATGAACAAGGTCCTGAGTTCAATCCCCCATATCACCAAAAAACAAACAAAAAAATGCAAGGAATAAGGGTAAGGACACAACAACTAAGTTTAGGACAGGTCTTACTGAAGTTAAGTGAATATTAGGGAATGAACATTTCCAGGCATTGACCATATTTTCAATCAATGATTTAAAAACACAGTAAAGGAAGGCTGTACCCTTCCTCATTAAACTAATGAATATATATTTAACTGAGATAAACATCAGAAGAAGCAACAGTAATACCTAAGTACTTCCAATATATGTTTAGTCTTTTTTATTTTAATGAAATATATGTATATATTAATAAAGAAAATATAAAAACCATTCTGCTTTATTTCTATGAAAAAATAAAACAACACCTAAAGAATTCCAAAAAAATTAAGGCCCCCTCCCAAAATAAAGGACCTAATCAAAAATATGGCCAACCAAAATAAAAAGACACTTCTCAGAAGATTGCCAATAAATATAAGGAAAAACATTCAACATCACTGGACATAAGAGAAATGCAAATTAAAACTACACTGAAATACCATCATACCCCAGAAAGAATGGCTATCATCAAAAAAAATCTAATAATAAAAAATGCTGGCAATGATATGGGGAAAAAAGAACTCTTCCACAGCACATTGTTGGTAAAGACACAAACAAATACAACCACTATGGAAATCAGTGTGGTGAATGCTTACATACTTTTTGTAAGCCCCTAAATGAAGAACAATCATCAACAGACAATGGTATAAAACTGAAAATACTTTTTGAAAAGATAAAATGGCCTTACTTCTTTTCCCTCTTGTTGCAGTTTTCTATTAGTATCCGTCACTTGATTCTGTGGAAAGAAGATAGTTTAAACTCATAAAAACATTTAGACAACAGTTGGATAAGAATCAAAAATTAATATGAAACCAGGCACGGTTTCATATTAATGAAATCTCGTCTGTAATCCCAGCACTTGGGAGGCTGAGGCAGAAAGATCAAAGTGAGTTCGAGGCCAGCCTGGGCTACAGAAGCAAGCGTGAACTGCACAGGTTCATACTTATACTGCAGTGCCCTGTCTCAAAAAAAAATTAATATCAAAAGGTAACTAGCTGCTTTTCAGTATTTCACCACATGTTGGTCCAGTGACATTCTCCTGAATTTAAACTATATCCACTTTTCTGTTGGAAATCTGCATGACCTTTTGAACAATGAAAAGAAGTATTTAATGGACGATAGGTTTACATTGGAATATTCCAAACTATGATACTATAATGACTACAGATCATACTCGTAACACTAGATAGAAAAAACGAGAGAGAGAGAGAGAGAGAGAGAGAGAGAGAGAGAGAGAAAATAGAAGGACCTTATCATTTCTACAATAATCTAGGAAGAAAAAATTATAGCATGGACAATTCTCATTTTGCCAATGTATTCTTGAAAGCTTAGGTATAAATTCAACCGTTTTTTGGTATCGTTTTACTTTTGGCTTTTTGTTTGTTTTGTTTATTGAGACAGAGTCTCAGTATGTTGTTCATGCTGGCCTTGAACTCACTATGTAGCCGAGGCTGGCCTGGAACTCACTATGATCCTCCTGCCTCAGCCTCCCAAATGCTGGGATTACAGGTGTGCACCACCATCCTCTGTCCATAAATTCAACTTTTTAACACAGATCAAATTTTCAACTTTTTATCCATCTAATTTTAGAAAACATACTTCCATATATACTCATTAATCTCCCCATCACATCATCAAAAATATGCAACTAAGGGGCTGGAGGTTTAGCTCAGCGGCATAAGCGCCTGCTTTGGAAGCAGGCAGTCATGCGTTCGATCCCCAGTACCAATAAAAAGGAAAAAGACCAAAAAAAATGCAAATAAGACTTAAAATGATCTATAATTCATAGTTTAAAGGAATGGGCACACAATCATACTAGTTTCTACTGGTTTGGTACTGTGACTTGAATACAGGCCTCCACACAGACCTACATCTCTAAACCTTTTTGTAAGGTTTTTTGGTTTTTTGTTTTAGAGACAGGGTCTTATACAGTTGCCCAGGTGGGCTCAAATTTTTGATCCTCTTGCTTCAACCTGCTGAGAAGAATATACTTTCGATGCCTCTACCAATGTTAAAAAAAAAGTACGTACATAAAATAGTAATTTCTTCATCATCTCAGACATTAGAAAAACATGAACAATATTAATTTCTAAAACTGTCTTTAGTAAAAGCTTACTAGCCTTAAACCATTAACTACTACTCCTTATATTTAGATTATATTCCCCTAGCCCAGTATTTCCTGTAATTGTACCTTCAAAGATAAAGTATTAATGTTATTAACACAGTGTACATACTCATGCACGTGCGCACGCGCGCGCGCACACACACACACACACACACACACACATTGTAAATACTCAAGAAAAAGAGATCATATGAAATGTTTTCCAAATCTACTTTCAAGATTATCTCAAGAAACTAGTTTTTCAGGAAACCAATTTTTAAAAATCTTTTCTGAGCACTATACACACTTACTATGTATTTTCAGGGCAGATTCCCACATGTACCTCTGCTTTCAAAGACAAAATGAAATCTGACCCCTCCAGAAAACCTTTAAAAACTATTAGAAAGAAAGGCAAGAAACACTCAAATTACCTCTTTATTGCTTAACAGCACCACATGTAAAACACTTTGTTGTTTTACTGGACTATGAGTTAAAGAGTTTGAGGTAGCTGCCCAAAATGCAGATCCATGGCATTAACAGAAGCACTGTCTAAAGCAGAGATCCACAAATTGCATAAAAGGTCAGAAGTAAGTATTCTAGGCTTTGCAGGCCACACAGTCTCTGTAACTATTCAACTCTGCTGCTGTAGCAGGTATGCAATCATGTAAAAATGTAAATAAAAAAAGTAAATGTAAAAGTAAAAGTAAATGAGTTAACATAGCTGTGTTCTAATAAAATTTCATTTACCAACATAGAATCTGCTGACCCCTGGTTTACAACAAGTAAAGTAATAAGCAGTAAGACCATACTATGAGAATCACATTTAGATATCATGTTTTACAAAGGCCACTGACAGGCTAAAGCACAAAAGGTGTGAATGGATTTGGGGAGGGAGCTAAAGCTACCACGTGGGCATGAAAAAAAGATGAAGGAATTTTTTTAGCCCAAAAAGGGGGCAAATACTTATTCAGAGATACTACATTCAGATTGTATACACCCCTGAATAACAGCAGCCTTCAAATATCTTGAAGATCTAGCAGAAGAAAAGTGGAATGACTGTGCTTCAGAGGAGTTGTTCAACCATAAACTACATTTTTAGTTTAACCTTCTGCTGGAAATATCTTCTAAATTCAACCCTCCATAAATACTACTAAAGTCAGCATAAGTGTTCCTATTTAAGTAACTTTATTTACCTTATGAAGATACCATTTTTCACTTTTTTTAACCTCAGAAACTCATAGTTAAAAATATATTTTACGTAGCAATTCACCACATATACATCACAATTTCCAAGAAACAATTTTTGCCCTTACTACATGTAATATACTATATTTCCTAGTCAACTGTTTAATTTCAGTGTTTGTTAAAAGATCACTAAATCAAAGTCCACTAAATGGATTTCAATGCAAACTATAGTCTAAAATATATATATTTGAGCCAGGCTCGGTGGTATATGCCTGTAATCACATACATGAGAGGCTGAAGCAGGAGGGTTACCATGAGTTCAGGACTTATCTGAACTACATAGAGAGATTCTGTCTCAATAAAACAAAATACATCCTGAGGAGCCTGATTAATGTTTCTGGTAAGAAAGAAATAACTATTTAAATACTACTCAAAAATTATTTCAATATATTACAATGAAAAGAAACTATACTGACAATAGTTTAGGATAGTACATCTTTTGACTTAGAAAACATAAGTATGTTATGTATGTACACAGACATATATATAATGTATGCATGCTATAATCATGTAATGGACATCCTAAAGAGCATATTTTCATTGTGGTGTTAACATAGTATTGTAAATAAATAATACTTATCCTTTTCTATCTCTGACACTATTTTAGAAACTTTCTTATAGCTCAGGAAACTACCTTTTATTGGTTCTGGACCTAGATCAAATGGATCTCCCTACAGCACAGTCTATTGGGTGGGCAGCTAAACATCAATCCACTCAGCATCAGAGCAAGTGGGTGGAGCCTGAAGCAACAAGAACCCTGAACTGGTAGCATCCAGCTCAGATGTTCTTTCAGAGACATTCTGACCAATCTGAAGGAATCTGCAACTTGAAGCAACCTGAAGGGGAGAGAAAGAAGAGGAAAAGTGGATATCATCAGCTTATGAGCATTATAGGCAATATTCAGTGCTACATGGCCAAAGAGGTATTCCACCACATGGCCACTTTAATATCCTGTGGACTGTCATGGACTGAGGTCCCAAGACACTGTGTGAGGGGTTTGGGATACAAGTATGAAACAGGCAATGAAAAGAATAGCCAAATAGCCAAATCTGGGAAACAACCCAAATGCCCATTAACCGAAAATGGGTAAAAAAGATTTGATATTTTTATACAATGGAGTACTACTCAGCTATAAAGATGGATCACATCAAGACTTTTATAGGTAAATGGATCAGACTTGAGACCATACTCAGAAGTAAAATAAATCAGACTCATCTATGTAAATTGTCTCCCTAGTGTAAGAAACTCAAAGAGTAAATTAAATAAGATCCAAAAATTACAACAGATACTGTGAAAAAGTAAGAAACTGTTGAAAGGGAAAAAGAACTGGGATGAGGAAAGGAGAAAAAAAGGGAGGAAAAAGGGAAAAAATATAAATTTGTTTATATATATAATAGCTAAAATGATTATATTACTAATTCTATTCTTGGAAAAGAACAGTTAATAGTCATATGATTAGATCAATCTTGTGTGCCTGTATCTGGTAATCTGAGCAATTTTTTGGAAGATAACAACCATGCACTATTACAACCACTGTTAAATTCCTATCATCTTGTTTTGAAAGCCTGTTATTATTGTTTCAGATTTTTGGTTGTTCCTTATAATTGTTGTTTGTATGTCTCTTGCTTTTTGTTTTTCTATTCTTTCTCTTCTCTTTAAAATTAAAAAAAAAAAAAGAACAGCCCAAGATGTGGATGGAAAGCTAGGATAGCTAGGTAAGGACAAATAGTACATTAACAACATATCAAAAGACTTGTTACCTTTAAGTGGAGAAAGAAACTATGAGCGGTACAAAAGAGAAGCTTAATTTTGTTGGCAATATCTAATTTTTTTAAGATAGATAGATACTGTTGTATAGGTCTATGAACTTTTAAAACCTTCAGATGCAATGTTTTCTACACTTTAGAATTTTGAAGATTTTATAAAGAAAATAAGGTACATTTTATATAATACGTAACATCCTCTAGTGGAAACTAGTAGAATACTCTATAATCAAACATTAAAATTTGTATGGCAAAAGATAAACATTCACATTAAATAAATTTGATAGTTTCATGTTCATTTAAGTTGTTCTGCAGTCAAATAAGCTTTTAAAGTGCTGTAGATTCAGAATATAACTTAATATCTAATAGCCCACTTTACCTCTCAATAAAGTTGTTTCTTTTTCCTACCAATTTGTTCTTTTAGATGAACTATATCTTCACCATGAAATTAAGCCTAAGAACATTCTTTTGGAGTTTTAATTCAAATTCCAACCAGAAAAGAAATAAAAGCATAAGGACTATAAAGAAGAAAATAAAACTGCTAATCACTCACAGATTATATGAGAAATATTTCCACAGAACACTAAAAAAAATCTAAGCATAAGTTATTCAATATAACAGAATAAGTTTAGTAGAGTAGTTAGATTTAAGATGAATAAGCAACGTCATTTATCCAACATAAGGGAATTTGCTACAAGGACCAGGTTAACTTGACCAGCCACTTTCTTAAAACATGAATCTGTCACATCAAGAAACAACCTTTATGCTTTGGTAATCCATGACTACACAAACCTTTTTTCCTTTGGCCTACATGCCATGCTGCTAGTAATTTTAAAGCAATGTCCTGAAATTTTTTCCTTCTCAAAAATAGCTTTTATCCAGCAAGGAAGAAGATGACAAGAAAAATCAAACTCAGTTTCTATCTGAAAGAAACAGTAACTGATCGCTGGTTTTGACCCAAGTGTAGATATCCCAGTGAAACTCTAACTAAAAAGGATTTTCTTTTTGGCTAAAAACTCATGAGCTCAATTATCTAGGTTTCAGTATAAAGTCCTTCCTACTACACAAATATTTCTACTATAAAATCATGACCTGTAAAGTAGTTCATATTCTTTTAATGCTAATCAGAACCTCAGAAGAAAAGAGAGCAACACATATCTTGTAGTCTCCTTACTTTGAGTTTCTGGGCTTCTCCTCTCACTTTCAGCAGTTCAGTAATAGAGTCAACGAAGCCCTGGTAATGAAAGTTGCACATTTTCTCAATTTCTCGGTCATGATTGCGAATGCGTGTTTCAAGCTTCTCCATGAATCGTCCATGTTCTTCACCATCATAGACAGACCTTTTAAAAAAGCCGGGAAAATTACACCACAGTTAATTTTAAACAGAAAGAGAAACACAAACCCAGGAACAATTTTATTTGAAAATTAGATTTTTAGGGTATATATACCACAAAGTAATACAATTGTATTAACATTATTTTAATGACAAAGAATGCTTTTTAGGAAAGTCAAAATTTGTGCTTTCTGATTCACCTAAAAATATTTCAACAGTATTCATTACAAAGTGAATCACAATCCTCCCCCTTCCCTCCACCCCCCGTCTGTCTTAATTTAACTAGTCAACAAACTCAACTTTGGTAACCTAACTATACAACTATTCCATTACTAGATCAAAAAAGCTAAAAATTGCTGTAGAAATTTCATAGTTAGGTTGGTTATACTCAATATAACTCTATAATTACAAATCTACACTAGGCATTCAATATCACTAGAAAATTCTACTACAGGTTGAATAGTCCATATCTAAAAAGCTTGAAGATGAGAAATGTTTCAAATTTTGAAATTTTTCAGATTTCAGACTATTTGTATATATATAATAAGATATCTCAAAAGTGGGACCCAAATCTAAACAAGAAATTCATAAATGTTTCATACACATCTTATATACACAGCCCAAAGGCAAATTTATAAAATATTTTTAGTGCATCAGCATTTTAGGAAAATCAAAAGTGCAACTTATCATGAAGTCAGGTGTGGAATTTTCCACGTGTAACATCTGGCATGTGGCACTCAAAAAGTTTTGGATATTGGAGCATTTCAGATACTGGATTTTTAGGTTAGGAATGCTCAACCTGTTACTCCTTCCCCAAAAATAATTTGTATTTTCTAAAATGTCTATCCTTACTTTCTCCACCCCTCAAATGTTAACTGCCTTTCAGCTACATGACCTTACTGTATACCTCACAGGAAAAAGACACAATAAAATATTTCTTCTCTCATGAAAACCAACCAGCCTACCAAGACATGTGCCTCTTACTCTGTCCAGTCTCCTGTAACAATGGAAGAAGTGTTCCAAGTTTTCGATATAGTCAACCCTTCTAGCTATCTCAAGAACTGTCCCTCTATAATCACTCCCTTTTAGCCCTCCTCTGCACTACACATTTCCCCCTACCTACAAGACCATTCTCATGTACATGTTAATAGGACCTTTAAAAACCTGCCTCTAGCTACACATACCTCCCTCTCCAGCTATCTATTTCTCTGCTCCCCTACCCAGGGAGGAAAAAAAGAAAAGCAAAATCCCTTTCCATTTCCTCACCATCTCAATTCATTGTTTCACAACAGGTAAGTAATCGTCATATTCCACTTAATAGTGGCATCTGCTAGTTTTATAGTCTCTTCATTTTTAAACACTAGAGAAGATTTCAAAGATACCATACTAACATGACTTTTAATCTTAGTGATCACTTGAGAAGTCTTCTCCATCTCCCATCCCAGCTCCTCCTCTTCTATGTGACTTCTAAATATTCACAGAACCATTTATTTTCTCAATCTGTGCTTTCTCACTAAACAATCAGTCTCACAGTTTTAAAATACCATCTACTTAGTGCTGATTTCCTAAACTATACTTAAAATTGAGAGCACTTCCCTGCACACTCGATATAAACCTTTAGCTACTACTTAACAACTCCAATTGTATTTTTTAAAGCTATCTCGAATTTAACACAAAAAAAATCATTTATAACCAACCTATCTCTACTCCCAAGCTTATTCATCACCAAAGTTCTCAACCACCTACTCACACAGCTAGTGGCACTTTCCACTTGCCCAAGCTAACTATCCAAGAATCACTTCTAATCCATTTCTTCCATCTTATCTTCCATTCAATCCATTAGTAATTCCTGACATTCAATCTCTAAAATATACCTCTTAAAACTGACCATATCCCACCACTTCTATTAAAACTAGCAGTTCTTCCCGCCTTAAAAAAGGATTTAAAATAGAGAAAGACTGCCACCTAGTGATAGCACATTCCAACAGTCCTTAAAATTTGAATGTGATGAAGCCAAGTAAAAGGGATTGCTAAAAGAAATCTAAAAACTATATTTTATAAACCTGTTAGCCAAAGAATTATAGCTATTAAATGATATGTAAATTACTTTTATCTTTAAGTTTCTATTTATTAAAAACAGGATCTTTCAAATAAAATCATGTGTTTCTGACATATCCAAATACGACAGTTAAACAACAACATGGAATAAACTGCAGCACTGATTTAGTTATTTGTGATAATTACAAGAATATTACAATACTTAATAAAAGATAAACAGGAAACACTTAGAAATTAACAATAACTTTTCATAACCTAAATTTCAAATGAAATAAATAAGTGCCAGTATATGGAGTCTGATTTTCAAATTCTACCCCACAGAAAACCACAGGTGTTTGTAAAAAAAAGTTTTTATCCTAGCATCCATATCTCATGCATACTCTTAAACATCATAAAATGGTATTATATCCTTCCTCCATCTAGAATTCATATGCCTGTTAAGAAATTCTCACAAAACGTGAAGAATTCAATTAAACAAATACTTATCATTCTAGTGTAATAGCTATTGTAAAAAAGAAAGGGAAAGAAAGTGCTCTAAAGGATATAACTTCATGTATGTTTAAGTGTGTAAGACAGATAACCACATTACTAAGTTTTTGTTGGATCATTGAACAGAATGGTTTGTACTGTCATTGTCCATTTTTTATGCTTTAATTTTGTAACTTAAACAACTATTTCTAAGATTACAATATGTAATTTATCAACTAGTGATTTCTTAGCATTAATTTTTTTGAAATTCTGTATTATTTCTGCCCTTTTTTCTGTTTTGCTTTTTTTTCTTTAAATAAAATAAAAATATTTATCATTTTACACTGAACCACCACAGGATTATACAACTTGCTTAAAGCCTACATCAGCTCAAATCTGAATGTTAAGGAGGAGAAGATAATGGTATGAATATTATGCTACTTAAAATCTGAAACCCAAGAAGATAAAGTAACTTGCCAATTCACACAGCTACAAAATATCCTCCCCAGTACATCAGTCCATCCCATTACAGCAAGAAAAGTATGTGCATCCACCCTGTTAAGAGTTGAAAGAAGGGAGGAAGTGGCACTGTCTGTTCGTGCAGACCTCATAGGGCCTTCAACATGGAGCCATAGAAGGCTTGGGAAAGAACAAGTATGAACAAGGCTCTGCCATAAATTGCATCACCTGAAACAAAGCCTGGAAGAAGCTGCAGTTGAGTTTGGTAGACTTTGGACGGCTATGCATCAGCCCAAACATAAGAAGGTCAACAAGGGCTCTACAAGGGCTCAAACTTTTATCTCATTAAAGACATCAAATTTCTCATCCATCAACCCAATGTCAACAAATTCCAGAATACAAGATATTTGTTCAGAAGCTTCAGAAGGCCTATGGGAAAAGCAAGTGGAACACTGTGGAGCACTATAGGACAGTAAGCCCAACTAGCAACTTGGCCATATCATCAAGGAGTGGTACCCTACGTTCATCAATGCTCTGTGGGACCTGGACACAGCAGGCACCACCACATGGATTGGGCTGGCTATGTGCTTTCTCTTTTCCACCTTCCTACAGAGAGGCAAGTGCCGCATGCAGACCATCAGTTGTGCTGCCCGCTCACTGTGAAGTTTTTGCACTCTATCATTGTCCCCTGTGCCCTGTGCAAAGGTCTTCCTGTCCATCAAAGACATTTACTACCATGATGAGGTGCTGGTAAGCCCACTGCATGAATCACATTCTATGCCTTCTCCCATGACCACCTGACAGACGTGGACTACAGGGCCATGGCCACTTTTACTGAGTTCTACACTATCTTATCGGGCTTTGTCAACTTCAGGCTCTAATGGTCACTCAACCTCCACTAGCCGCCAAAGTTCAAAGATCAGGGTCAAGCAGAGGTGAAGGCAAGGAAGGATGCCTATTCATTGGACTCTGAGAGCTCTATAAGGAAACTGGCAGCACTCAGAGCCAGCCCAACCCATGTGGTGGTGCCTGCTCTGGAGGAGGCTGAGGCCAACAAATTTCCTGCTGACGGGAAGATGGCGGTACAGGAAGAGAATCACAGGGAGGAGCTGGAAGCTCAAAAAACACACAAGAGGTTCTTTGACAGCCTGACATTCTTCCTGAACCTCAAGGTGCACCAAGAAGCCCTGGCCTTCATCATTAGAAGTTTTGGCAGGGGACGTGTTCTGAGACAAATCTTGGTGCAATGGGGCCACCTATGATGTCACAAACTCCCACATCACCAACCAGCTTGTCCTCTGGCCTGGACAGCAAAGCCCCATCATCAGCAACTAGTAGGTACAGCCCCAGTGGATGCTTGTGTCAATGCCCGGCTCCTCTTCCCTATAGCACAATACTTCCCTGAGTTGCAGCTGCTCCCATACCTTTTCACCCTTCATGTCTGAGAAGGAAGGAAATTGCACTCCACCTGAGAAGCTGAAGCTGCTGGCTCTGCAGCAAAGAGAGGGCCCAAGAAACTTGAGAGAGTCAGAAGATGCAGAAGAAGAAGAGAAGGAAGAAGTCAGTGAAGGTGAAGGTGATGGTGATGAGGAGGAAGGTGTAGAAGTTGGTTCAAAGAAGGAAAATGAGGCCCACCTGACAGCCCTGGAGGAGCAGAGGATGGAGAAGAAACCCAGGATGATGGTAGGCACCATGAAACTGGAAGACAAGCAGCGGCTAGCCCAGGAGGAGGACAGAGAGGTCAAGCACTGGGCCATCATGATAACGAAGAAGTGGGAGAAGTACCTTTATCAAAAGATGATGTTTGACAAGAAGCACACAATCTTACAGAAGCCAACAAACTGGCACAGAACTGGAAAGCTCATAACAAGGCTCTGAGGTCTGAGAAGGCAGCAAAAAAGGCAAGGCTGTGTGAGTGCTTGTGGCCCTCCCAGAAGCTGGACAGGGCAGAGACAGGCCAGCGGACCTATGCTTGATGGCAGGCCAGTCAATTCTGTCCTCATCTCCATTCTCCTTTCAGAT